TTCTTCCACCTCAAACTGGTCACAAGAGATCAAAACCTAGTGACGTGGCCGTATGCGAGCAAGATTACGAGTTTGCGAGCGAGAGTACGCATTTATGCCGCTCATATATTATAGCGCGTTACAGCTTCAACAGGGTCACATTCTGCGCTGGCAGAAAAAGAAAAAAAAAACATGCGTACAATACCAGGAAGCGAGGACGTCCTACGTGAACCACGCGGTAATAAAAATAGCGGTTGGATTTGGACTCGGAAGGACGTGTGTGAGAAAGCTCACCGCGAGCGCCAGCTGCTATGGTGGTTTAACTAGGTTTAACCGTTTTCTGTTTGCTTGTTTTTTATTTCTTTTGCGTACGCAAAACGTTGGAATGATCGCAATCACTCGCAGCTTGCCTAACGCGGCTTATCTGTGCACCAAGGTGTGCCAGATCAGCGCAGATGATGTCGGTGTTTTACGGCCCAAAACCACGATGTGAATATGAGGAAGACTGCAGTGGAAAAGCCCCGGAAATTTCGACCGCCTGGTGTTCCTAACGAGCACCTAAATCTGAGTGCGCAGGCATTTCCGCCTCCACTGAAATGCGAGACGCCGCGGATGGAATTCGATCCCATGACCTTCTTATCAGCTTATCTTCGTTGTTAGTCGTTCTAGATTACGTTCCTCATCGTATATAGGGTGAATATGCATTGCATGCCTCATCAAACGCGAAAGTAATCGTCAGCATCAATAGTATGAATAGACGAAAAGAAGTCACCATCGTGCGATTATGTATTCGTGACTTCACACCTTCAAAACATGCGACGTCGTCTTATGACATCATCGCCGGGCGTCGTTCTTCGGTAAAAGCATTCCCGACCTAGGGGGCGCCTCAAAACCACTTTAGGTGCAGAAACCTTTTTTTGGTATACTGACAATGAAATTGACTGAGAAGATAAGGAAGAGCGGGAACATCGCTATGATGTCTGCCTAGGAGACGTGCGCTTTCAAGCCGTCTCCATACGGCTTTAATAAAGACAATAGTCTTCATACGGATGCTTCAGCGCAGAAACGATGATCTATCTATCTATCTATCTATCTATCTATCTATCTATCTATCTATCTATCTATCTATCTATCTATCTATCTATCTATCTATCTATCTATCTATCTATCTATCTGTCTGTCTGTCTGTCTGTCTGTCTGTCTGTCTGTCTGTCTGTCTGTCTGTCGGTCTGTCTGTCTGTCTGCGAACTGATGTAACTACCCGGCTAAGCCCTTGCTCAACGCCCAGCCATCTTTATATGGTTGCTGTGTTCTTACATGTGAACATTGTCAACCAAAAAGCAAATATTACGCAAATTCGAGGTGCAACACCAACACATAAGTATTAAGTAGTGCGTTTCTTTATTTAAAAGTACATAGATACGTATACTCCTGAAGACCTCAGTGTTTATTACGCTGCGCCGACAATGCGACGCTACATGAACGAAAAGGCGGGTGTTTCCTATGCTTCGCTAAAGCGACCTGGTGCTGCCACCTACCAGTGCCTCTGCGTTTCACAAAAACTTTCGTTTCTCGCAATTGCTGCCAAATGGCGTCCATATCTCACGCAGCGCCTCCACAGAGAAGACTAACGTCTTTCGACGGCTTTTGCAGCGAAGCACGCAAAAACGCGGCCAATATTTTTCTGACACTTCTCCACCGCTCAATGGGAATTATAAAAATTCATTCATTAATTCAAGCAACTGGCAAGGTACTGAGTAGTCTTTTTTTTTAGGTTACTCTCGTGAAGGAATTCATTACATTACTCCTGTCCGAAATGTACATTGATTCTTTCACTCTAAACAGCAAGGATCACGGGGCCTTTTATGTATAATCACCTAAGACGACTGGAAGGTGGAAGCCACTTTCGTTTTCTTCTCAGTCGATTGCGTTTAAAGCCCCCCCCCCCCCCCGCCATTACCCTCGAGCAAGCTATTTACTTCTAAAGTGATTTAGTACCGCCTCCGAGAACAAATGCGTCGCAAGCTTTCTATAACTCACGCGCCGTTTCGGCTGTGACTCCGGAATCAGGACGTCGCTGAACAAACCGATAATGCAATTTTTTCTACGTATACGGCGTGTGCATACGGGCCTTGATCCACCCAAATTACCTCCCCTGGTAACGCCTAGGCTGGAGGTATACACCGTTGTAAAACTGATATCATTGCGATGAAAAAAAATCCGTGAACAGGGGTTGTGTCGAGCCGAGGTTTTGAAAAGCAGGCTTGTCTTCTTTAAGGCTATTAAACAGATATATTTAGAACAGATCAGTTTTCTTCTAGCCCTGAAGAAGACAACCCCTGTTTACGGATTTTTTCATCACAATCTTCAATCTTCCTATTCCTGCCGATGTTTTGATATCAATGCTGTGATTTCATCATTGTCAAGCCTCTATACCAGTAACGTATCCAGAAATGATTTTTTTCGGAGAGTTGGAAGGAGGGGGGGGGGAGGGGGCCGGGAATCGTAACCACACTTCGTGTATGTTAATGCGTGCGTTTGTCTGTGCGTGTGCATATATACACATGCAATATTGGACAGTTCCTGGGGTGGTTGGCACTCCCCGATACTATACTTTCCTGGCTACGTCACTGCATGCATTCTATATACATGCCTTTGTTCGTCTCACCGACACGCGCTCACTGAGACCGCGTTTGTTTTGCGTACACGTAACGCAAAACTATATTCCATGCAGCTGGTTTAACGTTTATTGCACATAAAACTATAAAGCGGTCGCAGTGGAGCGCCGTATAACACCACGACGCAGGTGCGCGCACAAGGACGTGCCAGAATCGGGGAGGACACCAGCCTGGCTCGGTTTTTCATCCGTATTTCCTCGTTTATTTAATTTCCCATTTCGTGCGCAATGTCGCAACAATGCACAGCGGAGTGGGGAAGCCGCAAATCGCTCGTGTGCAAGTTGCATGTCTTCGCGTGCACCCCCGCCCTCTTTCCCCGTCCTACATTCACAACAACCGGGAGTCGTTGTTGTATGCGTTTATACGGATCCTCGCCACTGTAAATCATTTTAAAACAGGCAGATGCAATCGCCGGAAAATTGCGCGAGACGTATACCAGATAAAGCAGCGTGTCAGCTGAAGAAATAGAGGACATGAGCCAGTCCTTTCACCGGCGCCAATTATATATCAGACGAATTGCCAGCTGTACACCAGATACGCGAGTTGTATTCTATTAGCAGATATACACCATGGTATGCATGGCAGCTGTATACATGCATAGCAGTCGTATTATAGGTATACCGGTTATATCCCTTATATATATATATATATATATATATATATATATATATATATATATATATATATATATATATATATATATATATATATATATATATATATATATATATATATATATATATATATATGGTGGGGTGAAATTCAATGGATCCGGTGGAAAATGCGGTAGAAAAAGAGGCCGACAAACGTGCGAAAAAACACTAGTTTTACTAACGTTTCGGCAGGTGGGCCTGCCTTCGTCGGAGTGAATTCACTCCGACGAAGGCAGGCCCACCTGCCGAAACGTTAGTAAAACTAGTGTTTTTTCGCACGTTTGTCGACCTCTTTTTTTACCGTATATATATATATATATATATATATATATATATATATATATATATATATATATATATATATATATATATATGTGTGTGTGTGTGTGTGTGTGTGTAAGGGAAACAAGTGTATACTTAAGGGCTCGTTTTTCGTGTTTTACACAATATTAATGAGATCTAACAGACAATAATGCCAAGGAAGGTATAGGGAAAGTTATTAGGCCAATTGTAATGTAAATGAGAAGAAAGAAAAGTGGGTGAAAAGATAACTTGCCGTGGGCAGGATCGGATCCTGCCCACGGCAAGTTATCTTTTCAAGCAAGTTATCATAGTTAGTACATCTACGCAATGTAATGTGTTTAGAAAAGCATGTAAACAAAGAGAATATTCTGCACTATGCTGTGGAAGAGCTCCGCGCTGCTGTTTCTCCGGTATATTGAAGGCTGAGTGTCCAGACATTTTGAATTTATGCCAGATATATTCCAGATGTGCTAATTATATCCCATGTATGAGAGTTATATGATGGTTATATATCAGGCATATTTATTGATATGTCGGGTTTAACGTCCCAAAACCACCAGATTATGAGAGGCGCCGTAGCGGAGGGCTCCGGAAGTTTCGACCGCCTGGAGTTATTTAACGTGCACCGAAATCTGAGCACACGGGCCTACAACATTTCCGCCTCTATCGGAAATGCGGCTGCCGCAGCCGGGACTCGAGCACGCGACCTGCGGGTCAGCAGCCGAGTATCTTAGCCACTAGATCACCGCGGCGGGGCTATATCAGGCATATTCGAAATATATACCGTGTAAATATACACCACATATAGCGAACTGAAGATATAAGCGCGCCTAGCTTTTTGTCCTCACGATTAATTGACACCGTACTAAGGCGTCCTGAAAGCTGTATTTACCGAGAAAAAAAGAAAAGCACCAGAGTTAGGTGCGTCAGCACGGTACCAGTGGCTATAACATACAAAGAAGCGTGTTTCACGAATGTGTGCAGAATGAAGGAAAAAGAAAGAAACTTACGTGGGCGGAGGGCATTGCTTTCTCGCGTTATTGATTGGTTCGTCCTGCACATTCACTTCAGCTAAATGTGAGGCACGTACGCCATACTCCCGCAATATTATCATGGCTGTCTCTTACGGATGGACGACTTGAGCGCCGTGATTCTGTGGACGGAGGCTTAATTTTTTTTTCTGAGGTTGTAACCGAGTTCAGTCGAAATTCAAAGATATCTGTTTTTTTTTTTAAAATAAAGAGTCTCTTCTCTATCTTTACCTGTTACCATGGTATAATAAGCATCTTGATTAGAGCTATTGACCCACAAAGTCCCTACAATGTAGTGGTCAACCAGCACAGTCACTAACGTGTACACTCGCTCGTCGCCCGATTCGTGTTCGCAGAGCGGCTCCAGGAGTTCTACAGCAACGAGAGCAAGGAGTGCGTCAACTGTGGCGCCATCTCTACGCCCCTGTGGCGGCGCGACTGCACGGGACACTACCTGTGCAACGCGTGCGGCCTTTACTCCAAGATGAACGGCGCCAACAGGCCGCTCATGAGGCCGCCCAAGCGAATGGTGCGTGCTCACATACCTTGTATTATTTTGTGTGCCAGCGACGTATATACATTGGTCGTTGATCGGGGGGGGGGGGGGGGGGGGGGGCGGATGACGCGGACGGTAGAGATGTGAAAAGCAGAAATGAGCAATGAAGGAGATGCTCAAAAAGATAGACAGCCCCTTTTGTAAGGTAGATTAAGGGGCTGATTGCGTTTTGATGCTGACAAACATCGCGAAAGAAGACGACAAATCGGACAAGCGCTGTCCAGCTGATTATTATATGGACGCGAATGCATTATGTGGGCATGTGTGGGATCAGTTAGAAAAATAAAACTGTTACAATGGCAATAAAACTGCGAAAAAAAAAGGTTAGAAACACCGAGATAGCAAACGCGCTTCTCGTGTGCCCGCTTTATCAGCGCCTTTATAGGCAGCGCCAAGGAGGAGAGAACAGGCGAGAAAGGACGCTGTCGTGTAAGACAAGTCGGTTGCTCGGTTCATGGCTTCCTGTCTGCGCTGTAAAAACTGTGACTCTCTTTTCACACACGTGAGACTCGCACGCGCTGACTGACCCTCTTCAGAAGTGTCGTGGGACGCACGACTATCGAAAGGATAGACACTGTATGATTCTCTTAAATGACAGTGAACGTGGTTTCTGAAGGGAATCCCACACATGTGACTCTGAGAAGTATGGAAAAAGAGTCAAATGACACCCCTTTCTTTCAGAGTGCCTATACTTACCTAAATTCGTGTTTACACTTCCATTCCAATGAGGGAGCACTGCAATTACGGAGTGCAAGTGAGTGCTTCGTGTACAATTTTTTTTAATGGGAAGGGGGGGGGGGGGGGGAAGGAGCTTCGCGGAAACGAGCAGTAAACCGCTAAACACTACTCTTAATAGACAGACCGGCAGGAACTGTCTATTACAAAATCGTGCGATGTAATTTTCAATTTTGTAATCGGAATTTTTTTTCCCAGCTCTGTTTCTTAAGAAGCCAGGCGACCCGCAGTAATAGCGCGACCTATTCAGTAGTTAGGAACATACATTTGGGTGCGTTGTCACAAAATGATGTGGCATATTTTAAAACTCAGCCTATAGAATTCCCATGAGAACCTTTGTATAAGAACACAGGGGTGGACTTTATCATAGGCCAAGTTTTCTTCTTCTTCTTCTTCACCTTCCTGAAAAGGGACCTTCGGAGACTTTCATTACCGCAAGTGATGTTCCTTGCCTGTCTTCTTTCAAAAGGCAAACACAGAAAACTGTGAGAAAGCTTATTTCGGCTGAGTGTTACGTATAAGCGCGTTCCGTCCAGCACGCATGCAGCATAGAAATTTTCGCGCTGCGCCGTTCTCCGTACGGATGCGTGGTTCCTTCTACGCAAGTCATTATTCATGCCACTGCGTTCGTCGCGTTCCTTCAGCCGCGCATGACGCTTACATGCATGACCACTCGTAGTCTCTCTCTCTCTCTCTCTCTAATATATATATATATATATATATATATAATTTTATGGCACGTGGCCTTGCCGGTCAAGGCGGTGGGAAGTCATGCGGAGTACCGTGGCTCAATGACATCAACTTTCTGATGTATGCCTTTATTTGCCGCGACTCCCTCCCTCTCCTTTCGGCTGTTCAAGTTACATGTGTTTACTCAGCCATGCATGCACTAAGTTACATTGTCCGTGTCGCGCACTCGCGTTTTCCTTGTGAATGCCATTCGAGGGGCGTCGATGTGTAATTGCAAGTAACAATAATTTCCTAGGTTATACGTGCCAAACAAACAAAACAAAAAAAATGCACTACATGGTTACGAGGCATAACCCCCGTATTCTAGAACGTCCCTTCACTCAACGCTTCACCTTCACTTGAGAGAGCCGACGGGAGCGCCATCTCTTGGAACGTCAAGTCACTGCATATCAAAGGATAACCTGCTGTGATTTTTGAGTAGCGCAGCGTCGTTTTCTACCGAGTATAGTGGCGCACTGCTCAACTCTGTCATGTGAAGGGTGAAAGTCGAGTCGAGGAGCGTTTGTGAATACGGGGGTAAGTTTCTTTAAAGTGCACCAAAGTAGAACAATACACGGGATTTCTTCAATCCCCCCCCCCCTCCCCCAAATCGCAATATCAAAATGCGACCACCGCCTCGGAATCGAACCGGCGTCCTCGACCTCACCCTTGCAGCCCGAGAGATACTGTCTCCGGCTGCAGGGCTTGTGGCATTACGCTTAACACGCTTAACACGCTCGAGTGCCCGGTATCGCGACTTCTTTCAGCCGAAATCTGCGCACCTCGATGCGGGCACCACATCGCACGCGGGCACATACACTGCAGTGAGCCCCTCGTCTCCCCTTGTCCGTGTCGTAATCTCGCGCAGCTTTCAAGCGTGTTCAAGAATTTCGTTGCACTGCAGTAGCTGTTTTTCTCACACTCGCTTTTTTTTTTTTCTGTCTCACGCAGACGCCTCCCGAATCCGGCACCGATGCTCGTTACAGGACATATGCGAAACAGGTAAGTTGTTCACAACATGCCTTTTCCGATCATTCCCGGATCACGACAAGCGGATTCGCCACGCTTGTGTTTCTCCAGGTTTTCCTTCTTTTCTAATTTCTGTTGTTGTCTCGTTATACACGGACCCCGACGACTATACTTCGCGCCCGTCCACCTCCCCTCTCTCCAGCTGCTAAACCATCTTTTCTATTTTTATTTTTTTCGAGGACGTAAAAATTAACAGCTTTATATATGCGTCGCGTTCCTCGCTTCGTTTTTTTTTTGCTTTCTTCCCCCCCCCCTCCATCTAAAAAAGTGTGGTGAACTGCGGCGCCATCTAACTCGACAGCAGGTTGCGAGATGGTTCTCGTTTTTTTTCTTCTTTTATTTTAAATTTATTAGCACACGCGGATCCCGGCAGCAGCTTGCTTGCGTGCTAGAGTGATCAGTGGCTTCGGTGCATGCTGGGATCGCTCCCCCACTGTGCTCCCTTCGGTTGTGGTACACGTAACAGGCGGCGCTCTTAATCCGTCGTTACTCGTGCTTATAGGAGTCTCTGCATAGACAGCCCGGACTGCCTCCACGCATGTCGCGCCAGCACTTCGGGGGAAAAAATATTAAAAAAAAAAGTTTTGTCTGTCCGGATTGCGAACCCTACTCTCTGGGGAAGAAAATTCTTATTTTCGCTTCGCTGATACTGATGTTCAGTTGATAAACTTCTTCTCTACTTCTTTAAAATCAAACTGTCTCGTTTTTTTTTTTTTTTGAGCGGAAACAAGACGGGTCGCATGCTTAGACTATGTCAACCATATTTCACTTTGTTTTTGTTTTGAGAGAGAGAGAGAGAGAGGAAAAACAACTTTATCGTGATTCTTTCTTAATTCTCACTTTCGTCGCACATGTAGTTGTTGATGCTCGAGGTGGACGCTGAAGAGCGCGAAAGGCGTGTAATATTGTTACGAGAAGGAGCACGTAGCAATATATTTACACAATTGGACAGCTTTTAAAAAATGTTTCTTTTTTCTTTTGCGAGCGATTCAGCCGCACGTTTGACTGAATAACGTTAAACTGCGCACAGAACACAAGGCGGAGGTGGAAGTTGTGCACGAACAGCTTTTGAGTGAGTGAGTGAGTTAGTGAGTGAGTGAATAAGTGAGCGAGCGTGCGAGCATTGGTACAGCTATGCTTTCGGGATTGATTTCTCGTTTGTATTGCTCCATACCATGTCCCACAAGATATGAACATTAACATGCACATCTGAGTAACATACGCGCGCATTTGAGGTGTTGGGTCCTGGCAAAATTTCTGAATCCCAGTAGTCGTCCTGCTGCAATGTAATTTCACACAATGGTATGCAGATGGTGCGCGGATATAAGTATACATGCTATGTGCGCTGCTTGTGGGGAATCAATTGAGTACTTATGGGGAAATCGTTGTGGGCGATGTTCCTCAACTATGGTTTGGTGTAGCTTGTTGCATAGTTTTTCATGTGTGTGGAGTTATACAAAAAGAACAAGACCCAGATACGAACCATGTAAGAACCAAATAAGAAGCGTTGCATGTGCATAACAACAAGCAAGCCGAAGAAAAAAAAGAAAGATCCTCGTTTCCGTAGCCAGCCAGCACTTTCCGCTTTTCATTGTTTTTCAGCCGTTCATTCTATGTAGGGTTGCAAACGGGCTTTCCCTGCCTTTCCATTTCTATGTATTTTTCGGCTTGGAAAGAACGGACACGGCTGTTGTGGGGCCGCTTTAGAAGTCTGCTTCAATTTGTTTACCTTGTATGGACGGCGGTCCCAAGGGCGGCAAGAGCGCCGTTGCTCGACCGCATGGCCGTGGTCATGGCCATCGGTATATCTGAAAAAAACAACGGCTAATTCCGCCAACGGCTAATTCCAACGGCTAATCGCCAGTCGCCTGAAGCCTTTGTCAGGGACAATGCTTAGTACCACTGTTATGCCCTTCGCACATGAAAGGCTGTGCCATGTCGATTGGTTGAATTTGGCTCGGTTTTCAGTTATTGACGATTATACTTATTTTATTTGATTACTTTCATTTCGACGGTGTCTGTTAAGTGAATATTTGGGGCCTCCTCCTTTTTTTCTTTGTTGCTGTCGACGCTCTACATGTACAATGCGCGTGTTATTGCCTGCTTTATATCTAATGTCAGGTTATGCTTGACACTCGACCGTGCAAGGGGAGCGCTAGGGCTTAAATCCGATTTGGTTTTTTTATTATTTCACTGATAAATCACTGTATTCCGAAAATTTACATTCGAGTCAAGTGAATCTGGTTGGGAGCTACTTTAGTTAATGATATCGTAATAATTACTTGCAGTGGATTTTTTTTTGTTTTATGAACAATACCAAGGAAGGGCGTGGAAAACAGGTCGTACGGCACTAAGGTTATGCGCCCGCCAATGAGAATTTATAAAACAAGCACGGTAATAATTCGTTAAGTGAACAGCTCGTTGAACTGTATAGTTAAACAAACAACTATGACTACACAAATTAACCTGGATGTTTAGGACTGCTTTGAGGCAGCGCTTCCAAAGAGCGATTCGTTTTACCAGTGTCGATCGAGACAAGTGTCGTCGTTGGCATCAGCCTATAGCTTTATATATAGGCAAAAAAGAGCGAAAACCTTTACCAATAGTCTCAATGCACCCTGTCATGCGCGATCATATTTCCATTTTATGCCAGGCAGAAGTTTCCAATTTCATTCCCTCGCATAACACTCTGCCTACCTCGACTGCATTTGCCATTCCTTGGCACCTATTCGGTCACTTCGACTGACCAACGGTTATGTGTTCGACGCATTACATGGCCTTCGCAGGATGCTGTGTTGTTGATGCTCTTGATTTTTCTCAGTTACCAAGTAGCATATTTTTGTCGTCTTTCTATTCGGTGGCGTACCAGCTCTCATCATTAACTCCAGTAATATCGGGCTTCCTTGCATATTATCCAAGGATCTAGCTCATATGCAGATAAAAGCACGGTGAAATGATGAAGACGTGGCGCTCGTCATGATTTGTAAAGGCTGTACGCGCTCTGGGTCCGTCTTCGTCTACCACGCTCCAAGCTTTACAGCATGTTAGGTTGTAGCAGAAGGAAAGTTGGAAAGCGCTGTCAACAGGTACGCACAGCCGCTTGCCACGTGTGGTTTCGCGTCGGCCTCAAGGGCAAGCACACATCATCAATATCAATCTCCCAGTCACACGCTTCAGACCCAACTGGGTTTACTGTTAAAACAGCGGAAGTCGCTTTTTTCCCCCGCTGTATGGGTCCTACCGAAAGGCTGTCTTTGTGGCGTTCTTTTCTTCTGCCAGCCCCGCGCACATCGGCGGGCAGTCATTGACGTTTCGTAAACGACGTCGTTTCAAGATGCCGCCGCGGTCGTGGCGAGGAGGTGATGAGCGAGCGAGGAGAAGGGTATCGTGCAAAACTACGACGGTGGTCCTACTTCCTCGGCATGTGTGTAGGTTTCCTGCACCACGACAGCCGCTGGGTGCGCTTTTTTTTTCATCCAGTGGCCGAGCCTACACCTTCGGAAGGAAGGAAAGAAGGCACAGGAGAGGCAGGAAAGGGGACGGATCTTAACTAGTCTAGTAGAAGTACTGGTATGCTGCCGTACACTGGAGGAATAGATAGGAGGCATTTAAATAAGAAAATGTATTGTTAGATAGAGAAAGAGGGAAAGGGGGAGCACACACGCACATACCATTTTTCACAGTCGCTGTATATCACCGTTGGGCTATAACCGCCGGGGTACGAGGCTGTTGATTACCGAAATGTGCTGGGAACTCACCGAGAGCTGAATGCATGATCGACATATGCGTTTTTTCCCTTTGTTGAACAGTAAAGCACTTCCTTCTGTTTCCGTGCTATAAGCGGTCAGTTAACCATTCCGCGGGCCTCAACCATTCCACCACCATCACAATGCGACCCCGCCGCCGTGATCGACTCCGCGGCCCTCGGGCCTGCACGAGCATCACAGCTACACAGCTCCACCGCGGCGGACTTGAGATTTTCAAATCGGAGAAGCAGACGAGGGAGATTTGACGCACCAACTGTTCCGGTTATGCCACTGTCCCACGCTATATGAGACGAGAGTCATGCACGAGGCTTGACGATACTTGTAGTGCGAGAACAGAACGACGACACAGAGACACAAAGGACACGAGCGCTAACTTCCAACACGAGGCCAGCTGTAAAGCGCGTATGGGTACAATTAGCGTATCGCATATAGAAATCGTGCAGCTATGCACAGTATATATATACTAACGCCGTTTCGTTTCTTTCGTTATTTTCTTTTTTGTTTTGTTTTCCTTTGAGATCCACACTGCGACGGTCCCTGCGGCTCTCTTCTGGACAGTGCCAGGTGGCTGTTATTTATGTGGTCCGCGCAGTGGGGGCATGCGTGCACCGTCGACCTTGAATGGGGATCATCGTTTCGGTCGGCGTACGCGGTACGTTGAACCCGCTGTGCGCGGCGGTTATTGTGACTTTGCGTTGTCCGGCTCCTCCAGATGCTCGACGTTTGTAATCTCTATCTTTCTCTTTACTGCTCCTTCTCTTTTGGCACGTGTGCTAAGCGTAATCTGGGAGCGGTGTTTGATGGTTTTCACACGTGCGTCTATAGGTGAGCCAGTTCGCGCGCGCTTTTACTCACATTGTCTCGGCTTTGCAAGTTTATTGGAAAATAGCTAGAAAAACACACATCCAAGTTTGATTATTAGATCATAATTTTAGGCATACGCTTGGGTCAGATTTCAAAGTACATTGGAATATAGATTCAAGCAAATCACAGCCAGGGCCAGAAGGTTCTTACGAAGGGTCTCGGGTAACCCCTTTAATGTGTATTTGTGTGTGTGTGTGTGTGTGTGTGTGTGTGTGTGTGTGTGTGTGTGTGTGTGTGTGTGTGTGTGTGTGTGTGTGTGCACAGCCAAATGCTGAATTGAATATTTCCGGGGAAAGAGGTTTCGGAAACCACTTACTACCTTGACTGAAGCCAGTGAGACAC